CTTGATGGCAGCCATCACCTAAAATGTTATGCTACATTGAGTAAAAATCTCGGGGTACTGGCTTCCTAAAGTAAAAGAAGAACATAGCTTGTTCTCCAAATTTGGAAAAATCAGTAAATTTATTTTGCTGTCTGTATATGGCTTAGGGATTAATATTCCTTGAGAAAATTAATTTTAATTGAGAGGAATGATGTATACTTGTTTTTGACAATTGTAGTGCTGTGAAATGTTCTCACAAGAAGTCAGAATGAGGACAGGAGCACAGCATGGAAAATGTTGCATAATTTTAAAATAGTACTTTGGATTCAGAAATGCTGAAATATTATTTTTCTGTAAGCAATAACAGACTGGAAATATCCTCAATTTTACAGTGTCAGAACGTGGGCAGCTGTGAAGACTAAGGAGAAACTACCTCTAAATCAAGAATCTGTCAGGATTTTCCCATGATGGTTTTTCTGAAGTCAAGATAAAATGCTGCATTTGTTATTGTGGTGTAAAAGACCACTCCCGGATGACACCGTGGTGCCAACCACTGGCCTGTTTACAGTAATAGACTCTACACACAGGAGTTCAGATGTGAAGCTTGCCACAAATGTTTTTAAAAAATATGAACAGTAAGGATGAGGAAAAGCAAGAATTTTTTGCCTTTTTTCCTTGTTTCTTTGTTTAGTAAACCTTATTTTAATTTTAAAACAAACCCCATTTTTTAGAAATAACAGGAACCTGAGTTTTTTTTGAAAAATACTTTGAACACATCTGATGATCCTGAAGGCTCCAGCTGAGTTAATTGATCAGCAGTTACCTCAAAGCACCTAGTGTCAAGTTTAGTCTGTCACTAATTATCCATCCAGAAGTCTTGGGCTTATAGCAGTAGAAGAGTAAAATAAACCCCTATAGGCAGCATATTTTTAGTCTATATATCCACAACCACATGAGGCTTTTACTAGTAAGAAAATATCTCCAAGAAGTATCTTAACCAGTATTGTTATTCTGGAAATTATTTCTAGTGATCTAATTATAAATGCTGGTACAAGTATTGCCTGGTTGTTTCCTCTGCAGCATATGTTTTATGTCACTATGTTTCTAAAAGACAAAACAAGTGGAGAGCTCAGTTTTCAGTTGACTGTGCATGAAGTAATTGCAATTTCACCGGGAAGTGCTATCAATTGTTGCGTTGATCTAGCAGGCATAACTACAGGCATTAAATATTTTGGCTGGTAAAAGCCAAATCTTTGGTTTTAAAAGATAGCCTTTTTCTTCAGATTGACCACAGATACATTTACTTAAATCCATTGGTTTGCATGTACTTGTCAGTTACAGCAATCACACAGTGGATGTATTTACCTACAAATTGAAGTTGGGCTCCTGTAACTGTAAGTGAGGAACATTGGCTTTTTCTGCTTTACTAGCTTCATCTTTAATCACACTTACAGAGAGCCTTTAATGGGTTGTGAGATCCAATAATTGAGGTGGTAAGGTTAATGGGGCATCTTGTTATGCTACGGGTTTTTGTTGCAAATAATTTTATATGTTAAATTGCATGAAATCTTTGCAACAGGAAAGTGAGACGAGAATTTGAGTGGCTAAAGGAGAGGCATCCAGCTAACGTCTGGTTGCAGAAATAAAGCTTAAGAACAACGACAGCAACTGCCTTTAGAGAATGACAAAATTGTAAGAGACAGCCAGTATCTGAAATGTAGTGAATGATTTTGTCTGGCAATGACAGATCTGAGGGAGTTAAAATAATAGTTTTTAAAACATGAACTTGTGATTATCTTATTCATCCTGTAAAAAGTAGGAGATACTCCTCTTTATTCAGTATCTTTTTTTGCATGTGACCATACTGACCATGCCCAAATCTTTTGATCACTTCTCTAGCCATGGAGATGCTGAGCATCACCTCCACTTTCAGTACAGAAATACAGCAGCTCAGAGATAATTTTTATTCAGAGTGAAGAACTATGGTCTAGACCACTGTCTGTCAGGATAATTTCTGAGATAGGTTTTTGGCTAAGTGGTCCATTTGGTAAAGGCATAAGGTTATTTTCTCAGTCAGTCACCATCCTTCTGAATTTATGCCACAGGAGTCACTGGCAAGCTTAGTTACCTACTGTGCCCTTCACTGTATCCTTTGCTGTCCACCTGTGTCTCTCAGAGGATATTTCCAGTGATGGGAGAATTTCCCAAATCATTATAATACATCAAACAGTTCACTGAGAGAAAGGTATCTGTAATCCTTAGGACACACAGTACTCCACGTTTTTCCTTCCAAGGAAATGCTAAAGTGGTAGTCACCTTATTCCCCACACCCAGGCCAAGGATGTGCTTCCCTCCCTGTCACCTGAGCTGATAGTCTATTTATTGCAAAGCACTTGATTTAAACCCCAAAATTTGCTCACTCTGCCCTGTGATGCTTAAAGAATTGAAGAAACTGAGCTGCAACATGTACTGTGCTTTTGTACAGTACTGATTATCAATAAAATGTAATTTAGCTAAAACAAAAATACCGATTGTCAATAAAGTACAATTTAGCTAAAACAAAAGGCACATTTCTGAGTAAAAGCCTCAGAAGTATTAGAGGCAGTAGAAGTGATACAGAAAATACTGATGATATTAAAATTGCAGGTTTAATTTTTTTTTTTTTTTAAATATCCAAACTCTCATGTTCAAACTTTCAAAGAGAATGGCAGTATGAGCAGTAGGTATTTGTTGTTACCAGCTGACACTTGTGTTAAAGAATATTAGCTAAAATATTTCTGCTACTGCGCTTCTACCAAACATGCTCTCCTACACATGCCAAAATCTGTACACCAAATCTGGTATGAAAAGGTTGCCACAGAAACCCTTCTGTTTGTATCCGGTAGCTTTCTTTGTCCTTTATACATAAAATAGACAGAAGTGTGTCTTTTAACAGCCAGATCATCCATTCCCAGGACAGAAGTAATTCCATGGGATATGATGAAACTTACTAAAGACAGAACTAAATACAGCATGTAATCACGTAGATCACGACTGGAGGAAAACCAGTCCTATTCAGTGGAATGGACCTGTAGATTTAGGAGGCCAGAATAGACCTTTCAGAATTGTTTTTAAAAAAAAAAAAAGAAATAAAACCTGCACAAATTCTCTCATATTTCATTAGAATTTTGAATTTACAGCAACCTCAAGAATGTTTGTTTTGTACTTCAGCAGAGTTCCATATAGAGAGCTAGGGAAATAACAGGAGGTTTGGAGGTTGGTGGAACTCCTAGAGGTAGCCCAAATCCACAAGTGTGCCATGTATATAGAGAATGTTCACACAGTCTTACTTAAAGCTGCTTAACAGCTTAAAATGATAAAAGTCCTTAACAGAATATAAGAACTTAAACCAGTTAAACTGTTTGAAGCAGCTTTTGAGTTTGAAGAGTTTGGGAGGGGGGTGATGGTGGGAAGCATCCCTGCTGAGCTGCAGGCCTGGGGACAGAGCTGGCAGGGTCCCACCAAAGGGGCCCTTTTGCAGGTAAGCTTTGGAGAACTGGAGGAGATGTGATGGAGAAAAGAGTTTTCTACATATTTTTATATAGAATTGAATATATGCCCAGATTGCTTTGCTTTAAGTAGTGTTGCAGGGAATCTTACCGGGATGAGAGGTGTCAGCGGTGGCATCTCCCCAGAGAAACAGGGAAGACGGTGGCAGAAAAATATTGTATTTGACAAGTCTTCAGCTGTGGAAAACAACTTTGGCTCATGGGCCAATGGAAGGCTCCTCAGGAGCATTGTGAAGAAATCTTCTACACGAGGTGCAAGGCAAAATGTTCTGGTTCTGTGGCTCCAGGAGTTGTAGGCAGGGAGTGAGGTGGCATGACAGATGGCCTTTCAGATGTTTTGAGGAGGAATTTTTGATTCTAAAAGATTGTTTTGGGGAAAAAGAAATGGCACGGGTGGAAGGGGAGGCAGGGAGAGTTGCTTGAGTTTGACTGATCTCAAACAGCGTTAGTTGGTCATATCAGATATGTTGTTAATATGTGAAGTCACATGTTTATAAAACAAAAAAGAAACCATTATTTTTGAGATCTAGTTTTGTCCCTGCTGCCATGTGTCGTGGTCAGTGGTTGTATGTGTGTTTGTGTGTGTGTGTATGTGAGCTCAGATGGAAAAAAATGGTAGCACTGCACAGGAGTGATACTTCAGGGCAAAGGAAGAAGGCACGGGAATGGGAATTAATGTCTGAAGGGGAAAAGAGCTATGATGCTGTTTCTGAAGGCAGTGATGCCACCTTAAATGTTTTCAAATTTGGTCTGGTTTTCATTGATGCAGGCAGTGATTTACACCTTTCAGTGCAGAAAAGGCTGTAAAACAGGAGTGAATTACATTCTGTACCATTTGAAAATAAATTGTGCATTCACAGCCACTCAGGGTGAGGCCTATTTACACTTCCAGAGTGGTATATGATGAGTAAATGAAAGTTAGGCCTGTGTGTGAATGAAAAATGCCTGTTTTACCAGAGGCTGTGAAAAGAGAGAGCAAGAGAGACTTAGTGGAAATTGGAAGCGAGATTTTATTTGTTTGTTTAAAACAGTCCTATTGATTTGGAGTCAGAGGGAGCATTGGTGTAACTGCAAACTAATTCCACTGAATTCTGCACGGTATTTCTGGTGATGCTGATGGGGCTGGAAGTTTATGTTTATAATATGAGTTTTTCTTGTGTTCAGGTAAGTGTTTATCACATTATATTCTTGTGTGATCTTGGTGGCATAATATTTAACATGAATGTTATCTGTCCAAAAACACAATCTTCACTGGGGAGAAACAGAGCTTGGGTATAGTTAAGATCATTTTATCTCAATACAATTAAATAACTCCTTGGTTTTCTTGTATGGTAAGGAATGAGATATGCAAATGTTACTTGGTGAGGGTAAGTGCTTTCTGGCTAATGACAGACACAGAAAGAAATCCTTTAATTAATGAAATCTTGCTGTTGTGCACGTAACGCTAATATCTCAATATTGCTTGAATTTCAGAACGTTTCAGGATCTGTCCAAACAAATGGATATTTCTTATGGTACAGTCAGGGATTCAGCAGTGTATGAATACTTTAAAGCAAAAGGGACAAACCCTTTGGAGCAGGATAACACATTTGCTGAACTGTGGAGGACTATCAGTAAGAATAATGGGGCAGATAATTGCGTATCGAACCCTTCTGAAGGCATCAGGAAGGTAAGACTGGATCACAGGGGTTTTCATCTAATTTTTGTATCAGTGTTGTTTCTATGGAGTTATTGTTAAGTTCCAAGAAAGAAATTGCAGTCATTTAAGAAAACCCTGAATTCATATCTAAAGTTCCTTTTAGTACCTTGATGGCAGATAAGAATCATATTTTGGTGTCATGGCTTTGAAGTAAGTACTTTAGCTCTGCCTAAGTCTCCAGTATGTAAGTCCTTCTTTGAATCTGGTCATAAGGTTTATCAGTTTCTTGGGAGTTTTGATAATGCCTTTTTTAGTGTCATTCTTTACATTATCCAGGTACTAACTCTTGTCCTTTTGCTCATTTGAGTTTTTGGGGATTTTTTTTCTGTTTTCATGAACTGAACATGTTGGAAACATGAGCAGAAATAGGGGGATTCACAGAACATATACTCATTTCTCTTAAACAGAATTTAATTCAAGGTTTTTCTTTGTTTATTCCAAACTTTGAAAAATGCATTCACCTGACACCGTGTTTTTACCTACATTTTGTTTCTCTCAGATAAGACTACACATTTCTTTTGTGAAACTGAGCATTGTTGTGAGATTCAAGGACTGATATATGACAGCCTGGGATCCTACATCTTTGTGCCAAGTCCTGTGATAAAGAGTATTGGTTCAGATCAGACCATTACAAATGTCCACATTCTCTCACAGCCTGCCTCTCCCCTCTGCTTCCCCTCCTGAACCTCAGGAAAAACAGATAGCACCTTACATCAAACCACACATGTCCAGGAGCAGAAGGGATGCAAACATGTTGTAAGCTTAATGTGCTGCTTCTTTAGTGAAAGGTGTCCTCTTTATCTGCCACTTGATTTTTTTTGTAAAACAAGCTAACAGCCATTATTAGCACAGTGAATGTTTGATCAGATGTACTCTTGTCAGTGAACCACTGGTTCTGAATTAATATATATTACTAGTTCTTTATGCTTTTGTAAGTGGGAAATGATAATATGGTTGAGTCTTCCATTTCTTTTCTTACTATGGATTTTTGAAACTTTTTCTGAACAGTGAGAGGGAGAGTATCCAAAATCTACTATTTTTTTACAATGCCTTAAGGAGGGTGAGCACAGTAACACAAGCCAACACATTTCCCAATTCATTATCCTTTAGCAAAAGATTCCCAACTGTTTGCATGACTTTTGGACAAAATCTTTGTACAAAGACTGTTGTGTCTTCTCAGCCTAGGAGTATTTATTCAAAAGTTTTGGTTCACCCTGCCTTTTCACTCACCTCCCAGATAAGCTTCCCTAAAGACCTCTGCCCTCAGCTCCAGCAGCCTTTCTCCCTTGGTACCAGGTAGAGCTCTGGCAATAGCAAGGTCTGCAGTGTGTTTATTCAATTATTTATTTGATCTGCTCAGCCCCTTATGAAAATGTGGCCTCTATTTTGAGAGATTTTGGTAGCATTTAAAGGAGAAATGGAGACATTAAGTACTTTTCTATGTACCCTAGCATTTAAGCCAATAATAAAACAGTTTACCTCAGAAAAATGTACAGTATTTTACTTTGCTTTTTTCTTTTATACCATTCTTATGGCAGTGGATGCTCTTTATCCATGAAATTGTAAATACTCTTATTCTGTAAGCCTACTGCATGTTGCCATTTATGATAGCTAGATTCGCCTAAGCCAGAAATGTAACTGTAGATTGGCAGGCTGTTGAGAATACCAATTATATTGTCTGTATGGAACTGGCAGCTTCATCTTATCTATGTGATAATAACTTTTCGTATGAAGTTTGATTTCAGTATTGCAGGGTGATTTTTATATGACTAGATCAACTCCTTGAATTAGTGTCAACAAGCAAATTTTACTTCAGTCCCCAAAGATGACCGAGGCCACTATTTGATTAGACACCTACATAAATGGGGATTAATATTTAATAACATTGTCAACTAAACTGTTGTGTTTATAGTTTAAGTGTCACTCTTCCTAGCTCATGAGCTCTTTCAATAAACAGACAAGTTTTCCATGTCAAGTATTATGACTAGAAATTCTGTTTTTTTCTAAAGGAGAATTGATGTCAGCCAAGGAAATGAGAGTTTCCATCCATAAATGCATATTGTTGCATGAAAGAGATGTAAACGTGCCTTAAAAATGTATTTTATAGGAAATGGGAAATCTAAATCTCTCTAGCATAAAAAGATCCATAAAACATTTTTCTGAATGAGGATTTGCCTGACGCAATGCAAAAATAAAAAAAAATAAAAAAAAATCACTACTCTCCTTTCTTCCCTTCCCTTCTCCTCCTTTCCATTTTCTTCAGACAGTGTCACAGTTCAGCTGTGGTTACAAACAGAGCAATGCCACTTCAATGCAAACAGGGAGTTGTTTATGCTACAGGCAGGTATTTCAGGTGTTTATCTCTATTCCATCTCCCTGCATTTCATGGAGATTTTCCTACTCCCCTTGACTGTCTGAAAGTCAAAAGGATGGCAATGGAAGAAAGTCCTGAGAGTTTTTGAGGTGTTTGGTTGCCAAGGCAGAGATCTCTCTTCAGAGCCAGCACAGTCCTTGTAGCCACAAGCGACAGGAGGATGTTTCAGAGACGGGGTAGGGGAGGCAAGTTGCTTTTGTTCTGCTCCAAGGTAGTTGAAAGAGGTCACTGAAGTTTGAAAATCTCCTCCTATTCACCAGTGCCTCTTCACAGCATCAGAGCAGGTTACCAGGCAAATCACCAGTCCATACAAAATACTGTTTTGCCACTTGAGCTTTCTGGTATTATAACAGAGGATGATGGACTAACACTGTCATAGGGAAAGTTTCTTTCTGGGTCAAACTCCAGCCAGGATCCCCAGGAATCATGCAGTGAGTTCTCCTGCCATCTCATCCCAGGTGGACATTTGTACTGGAATCACATGCATTTCTAAGCCATTTGCACATCTCAGCAAACTGTTTGCGTAATACCCAGTGGCAATTCATTTTCAGGGTAATTATTGATTGCACCAACATATACAATAACCTGTGGTTTTTGTCATTGTGGGCACCCAATTTTGCTTTGAAAGGATGAAGCAATATGATCCCCATATAATGCCATATCTGCTATATATACACCTGGGAGAATTAAAATGTTGTTGTTGCATTTTATAAAGCCCTGCTTTGGTTGAGGCTGTTCCCCTGTCCAATCAATTTGGTGCCAAAATTTCTCTGAATCCTTTCTTTCCTTCCTGTGTATCACTTTTGATTAAAAGTGAACAAAGCCAAGTAGAGCACAAAATGAGGATGCATCACTGACTTAGGCAATAACACAGTGAGAATTTATTCCTTCCCTTTTTTGCTCCCCTCAAAAAGTCTCTCTTGACTGCAGATGAAAAGCAAACATTAAATCAGACTGATCTTATTGAACAGTCACTTCTATTCATTCTTATTTTGAGAGTAAAAGTAATTTAAAATTTCAATTAATATGACTTTTTTAAAAACTATTTTTTCCAATAATTTATTGTCCATAATGAATTTTATATTGTGAATTGAGGTTGTTCATCCATATGCTTTCATGGACCCTCATAAATTTTTCCATTTTTCCATTTGAAGTAAAAGCAAATGCTTCCTTAAACCTGAATCTATTGCATCTGGTAGCGGTTCCTTAATTATTTTAATGTTGGAAACATTTCAACAGGATTAAATGGCATGTCTTTCTTTTTATTATAACTGTTTTGCTTCTCTTAAAGCATTTTTTTATAGATAATAAATGTTATCCAAGCGTGTTTTTTAACTACTCCACTAATGTCAATGTAAAAGTCACTTTTTGATATTTCTGTGGTACCAGCCATATAATGGGATCAGCCACAGTGACACTCTGTTCTGGCGGTAAATTAATGACAAATTTTGCACTATTCTGGCACTTGTGTCTTTAGTATCATAGCTTCTTCATAAGTCAATCTGGAATTAATATTTTTTTCATGTTATTATTATTTCTTACTATGTTTTCTTTGAAATAACATAATTAACCATCAGTAAGCCAGGACCTTTTGAACAATAGTCTTCTGTCTCCCTCCACATTGAAGAGTGACATTATGAGGTTGCTTACTGCTTTCCTGGAGTATTATTTCCTTTGTGGTCCTTCCTATGTCTAGGAAGAAATCTTCTTTGGCCTTTTAATTTTTTTAGGATTGTGAAGAAGAAACATTTTTCTAACATAAGTTTTTCCCAGGGGGGTCGTTTTTTCTTAAATCTGTTTTCTTAGGTCTCTTAAACTAAAAATAAATCTGGTGTCTTTGATGTAAGTCAAAGTAGTTGTTCTACCTGGGTAGGATAAATGAGTGCTGCTTTGGTTGACTTTCTGATAAAGAGGATGTTAAATGTTTAACCAAGTGATTTTGTTTTGTTCTGCAACATATCTATATGCTGGCAGTCACTATAAGGCCATAGCAAAAGAGCAAAATATGAAAGACAATTATAGATTTAAAGTACAAAATCTAGCTTATTATTCTGTATTTAATTTCAGTCATTTTTTATTCAAACTATCTTACTTATGCTCAGCTGGGGTTTGCCACAGGCCCTCTTACCAGCTTTCTCTCTATTCTACCTTTGCAATAATGTCTGATCACCAGAACATTTTTATGGGCCCTAAACCCACACAATTCAGGCTTTAGATGACTGAGCTTTGAATGCAAGAGCCTGAGGATGTGGATATTTGCTGTACTGTGATCAGGACTTGGTTACATGGGTAGGTACATCTGTGGAGCTTGTTGTGTTTCTTGCTCGTCCATCCCATAGGTCTTCCTACTTTCAGTGGAAGGAAAGTGCACATCAGTGCCAGGTCTTCCTACTTCATTNCGGGGTAGGGGAGGCAAGTTGCTTTTGTTCTGCTCCAAGGTAGTTGAAAGAGGTCACTGAAGTTTGAAAATCTCCTCCTATTCACCAGTGCCTCTTCACAGCATCAGAGCAGGTTACCAGGCAAATCACCAGTCCATACAAAATACTGTTTTGCCACTTGAGCTTTCTGGTATTATAACAGAGGATGATGGACTAAC